CGGAGCCGCTCTGTGGGGTCGTGAAAGACGAGTGCAGGAGCACAGGTTCGCTCCGCAGGATCCGCACCGGCGCCTGCGGAGGACCCACCCCGGGGATCAAGCCCCGGGGAGCCCGAGGAAAAGAGCAAGGGCACACGCGTCGCCGCGACACCGATTCGGTGGTGGCACCGGCAGCAGCAGTAGCAGCAACAGCACACCACGGATCGCCAGGGAGACCCGTCCCGGCGGACCTCGCGGTGCACCGGAAGCAGCCAGCGACGCGTGACTGCGTGTGATCCCGCGCGCAAGCGCAGCAGCCCAGCCTAGCGGGGGTGGGGCTGGGGTACGGGCCCGTAGGAACCGTCGTTTTGGAGGTGGGCAGCTCAAGTGGACGGACTGCTTCCGGCCAGGAGTCCCGGGCGAAGAAGGAAGCTGTTAGTACTGGCTGTGGGGAGCCTGGGCTGCTCAGCTCTCGAGCGGTGCTGTGCGCCCTTCAGGTAAAAGGGGCGGGGCTGTGCCCAGCTCGAGGGGTACAGGACTCGCCTCACCTCTCAGCCGCCATCCTCTCAGCACTGCAGTCAAGGCCCGGTCCCGGCCCTCCTCGATCTGCCCCGGCTCTTTCAGGATAGGGTTGATACTGATAGTGCCACACCAGACCGCTCTCCTCACTCCGGTTATCCAGCTGTTCCACAAAGGATACCAAGTTCCTGGAGTAACTGAAGCCAAGCTCCCAGAGTGTGAAGAGGCTTTGGGAATCGGGGATTGGATTGGGCTGTCGCCGATGTCGCAGAATGTGCCACACTTGAACAAGCTCCCGCACGACCCTGTCTTACAAATGTATTTTTCAGCCTTACTGCTTTGGCATGTATTACTCCTCAGTCTCCTAACTGCTATCGTCTTCTGCCTAAACTGATGCAGTTCAGCCACCTCCTCTCATGGCTCTTTCCCACGGAACAGCCAGGTTGATCTTTCTGCACTCTTCAGTTTAATCAGATAACCCCCCTACTTCAAATTCTTCCATGTCTTGGCTCTTGTCTTTCACTTAGAATAAAATTCAATCTTATGGGCCCACACCAGTAATCCTAGCATTAGGGAGGCAAAGGTAGGATTGCTGGGAGTTCGAGGCCAGCCTGAACTACATAGCGAGACCCTGTCTCAAACCAAAACCAAATTGAAATTTTAAATACCAGACTTTTTACATTGACCAAGACTGGTGACTCCTGCTTCGTTCTTTTTCCATATCCCCTCTCAAAACTGGGAGTTGTCAGAACAGGCTATATAACATTCTGTAGTGTTTAAAGTATTAGCTTTCTGTGAGCCTTTGTAGGTTTGACTCTCAGCTCTGCCACAATTAAGCTGTATTGAGCATGTAAAATGCTTTGCAAGTTGTGATTCAGCAATAGATCCTCCATAACTGGTTCCCTTCTCGGTAAACACCATCACCCCCGGCTGGATTGGTCAGTGCTCAAACCTGAAATCCAAGAGATATCTGTGACTCCTCCTTCACCTCATGCAAGGCCTGCAAAAGCATAGCCCAAACCGATTACTTCTATTACGACTCTAATCCAAGTTACCACTGTCTCTTTTTTTCAGTACCAGGGATCAAACTGAAGACCTTGGGCGTGGTGCCACTGAGCTACATCCCCATTCCTACCATTCATTGTCTCTTGTCTGGATTCTTGCTTTTTTGGGGGGTGGGAGAGATTGAGCCTAGGGTCCTGCACATGCACTTTACTACCACAGAGCTATACTCCCAATTCTGGGACTCCTGCTTTCTCTCTGACACCTTTTATTTTTATTTTTTTTAAAAGTACATGCCAATATCATGAAAACAGCTTTATTTTTGTTATTGACACATACGTAACACTTCAATTTTGTTATTTTGTTTGCTTTCTCAAGTATTACTTAAGTATGCATTAAAAATACGTGTTTACGCTAGGCATGGTGGCGCACTCCTGTAATCCCAGCACTTGGGAGGCTGAGGCAGGAGGATCGCTGTGAGTTTGAGACCAGCCTGGGCTACAGAGTGAGTTCCAGGTCAGTCTCAACTACATAGTGAGACCCTGTCTCAAAAAACCAAAAAAAAAAAAAAAAAAAAAGTGTTTTCACTTAAGAAATGTGACACATGAAAGTCCTCTCTGTAAACATAATCCTTTTTTCAATATATTTTCCTACTTTGTTTTATACATAGATAACTTAATCATCAAAATCACAAATAAAACCATCAACTCTTAAGGCCCAAAAATATACACAAAATTTAGAGTTTGAGGAAAGTGTTTTCTTTGATTTTATAAATAACAGCCAATATTTGCCATGTTTATTATCAGTCAAATGCTTATCACAAGTTCTGTCTTTTTTTATTTATTTATTTTGTACTGGGGATCAAACTCTGGCCCTTGCTGCTTGCCAGGCAGGCGCCGGAACCACTAAGCTAAATCCCTAGCCCACAAATTCTGTCTTTTAACTCATTCTGCAAAAAGACTTTTTAGCTTAACTGGTAAAGATGCCATACATTTGAAAAATCAAAATAATCGAAATTTGACACCTTTTAATTCCATTCTTCACCCATTCATCTCTTTCTCCTTGTTTAAAGTCCATCATTAGCTTCCTGTTGCACTCGAACTAACATTCAAACTGTATACAGTTTGGCCAACCTGCTTTTCAGATTTAGAGCCATCTGTTAGGAAAATGGACTCTACTCATTATATTCCTCACCCTACAACCAAGGGACTCTAAAGTGCATGTTATTCCAACAACAACAAAACCAACCCCCCCCAAAAAAAAAAACCACCCCAAAAGCTATTGGCTCAAGGATCAAGTTAAAATCCTAAAATAGCCCTTTGTGATTTGGTCCTTATTTATTCTCCAAAGACATTTTTTCCTGTCCATGACATTTTATATTCTATAGTATTTCATTGCCTTTACATATATTTCCTACGTCTCATGAATTCTAATTCATTTATTCTTAAGGCCTACCTTATTGTTTCCTCTTTGAAATGATTGATTATATTTGCTTGTATATTTCCACAGCTCTATAAACTGTTACAGCATCTCACACAGTAGTGTTTCTAGTTTTTGTCTTCCTTCCATGATCAGCTTCTCAGCGATGGTGGGCACTGCGTTCCCATTCATGGCATCTTATATATGGCCTTGAGCACAATGCTTGACATATACAAGATCTCATGAATGAAAGGATAAATGTATGGAGGTAGTGGTAAAAATCTGTCCTTGGGAAAGAGTTGTCACAGCATAACATGACAGCATCTCGTCCTTTGAGGTTTCTCATGCCAACATGCCTAAAGAGGGCAAATGCTATGGCTGGATGTTGTTTTGTTTAACCAGCCTTGGCAGGGTAGTTGTTTGTTGTAAATTCTTGAAAGCTTTAGACGTGGCACATAGACCACAGCATTCTCCAGATCCTGGTTTCACTCACTCATGTCACTGTCCTGGCCCTTAAAGGCATTTGAGTTTGGTGCACCTATCTAGGAACCAATACTTCAATTTGGAAGTGATCTTAGGTGTTATCCATAGCAGTCTTGTGATTTGTAAACATATGACCCCGAAATCCTCATATTCTGATTCAGTAGGTCCTAGGCTGGTCCTGATGTCAAATTCTGACATACCCTCCCTGGTTGAGTTACCCTGCAAAACAGGTCATGACCCTTCTCTCAAAACCTTCAGTGGATTTCTTGCATGCAGAATAAAATAACAACTTCTTACACAGCATGTTTGAATTGTTAGGCTTGCCATCTTATATACTTGAGTCAATCAACTCCTTTAGTTCCTAGAATACCAGTAGTTCTTTGCTGATTTAGAGTTTGCTGAGAATGTGTCCTTTGCTGAACTGCCTTTTGCCTCAGCTCTTCATGAAGATCTCAACTTAAATGCCATTGTCTAGTGAGGCTGCCCCTGACCTTTGTAAATCTTTTCCTTTTATTCCCTCCTGTACTGTTTGTTTCCTTTATAGTACTTACCACTCTCTGTGATAAGTTACTTTATCTGTTTACTTATCTTCCCCCTGAATTTTATATTTCATAATGATAGAGACCTTAAATCAATTATTCTTCACTGAATCTTTACTGTTTGACACCTATAAATGTTTATTAAATGAGTGTAATGACACCAGAAACATCTTCTACATTGATAATCTTTCTAAGCAAGACATTGAGAGAACTTTGAAGATCACATTTGGGTGTAATTTCAAGCAGGACCATGGAGTGACAGAGAAGCTGCATAAACTTGGTTCAACCTCTTACCCAGTTTCTATACCCATAAAACAAGCTGGATAAATAACTTTGAATTAAAAACAAAAACAAAACAAAACTCTTTCACCATCTCTTTCAATCTAGTCTCATAGTAGACAAAGCAGAAATTGTTTTTTGCATTTGTACCAAGGCTTGGAAAGGTTAAAAATTTAGATTATCTGTAACATCCCTTCGTTTGAAATGTTTATTACTGACAAAAAGTCAGTAATATGAATCCTATCTTCTCTCAGTTTTACCAATTGTATCACTTCCTAATAAGATTTTTAAAAAAACCTGAACCCATCTTTTAGGGTGAACTATCAACTTTGGCTCTGATAGGTACTCTTTTGTCTTCTCACTCCTTGTGGTAAAATAAGCTGCAAGGAGGCACACAGTCCTGTTAGTTGTGGCCCTGCCCTCATCCCCCAGAAATGGTAAATTGGGAAAAAGAAACATTGGCAGTTCTCTTTGGAGGAGAAAATGGAAGTTGCAGAAGCTGTCAGGCAAAGGGAAAGG